TTGGCTTCCCGTGGTGCCTGGCATCTCTTCTGCTCTCTGGGGGGAGGGATGGGCCACTAAGTGCTGACAGCAGCCTGTCACTCACACTTTGCTCCCTCTGTAGAAACACTCCATGTCTCTCCATTCCATCCCTGCGTGTTACCTAGCAGGAATTTCCTCTTCCTTGGGTCAAGCGGGTGGGAAGGGCTCATGAGAGCTGGCTGAACTCAACCCTTTACACTGGGCGTTCAGTGTCATTACATTGATAGCTTGAAATGGGCAGTAGGGGGAATATTTACACCACAAAAACTGGCGTATGCTACAGCCAGAGCTTTCCTTCTCTCTCCCCTAAAAGCCAGTTGTTAAAACATTTAACAACATACCACTGGCCAGAACCACTTGTGAAGGTGAGGTAGGGCTGCAGGGAGAGCCCAGGTAGTAGAGGAAATCGTAGCCTGCCTTCCTTGCCCATAGCACGTGCCGGCCACCACTCAGGAGCTTTCGGAACTTAGGAGCTCTCTTCTGAAACTCTCCTTAAACACCTCCTCATCCCAAATGGGTTGACCTTCAATTAGAGGACTCTGCTGTGGAGCAGAGCTGGAATTACTCAAAGCAGAGTTATAGATGAGACTTATTTTCCATGTTCCTAGGCTCCCTTCCACTGTTCCCTGTTCTCCAGACTCCATGTTCTTATCCGATGGTATTTCTACTCTTTTTCTCAACCTGTTGCTAATGTGCTCATTCAAGAGAGGCTGGTGTGCACCTACCCAGGGACTTTTTGCGGGGAGTGGAAGGGAGTGTTTTATTAGGAATTTAAGTTATATGTGCAAGGAATAGCACATCCATGGTGGTATTCCTCCACATTCATGGAGGAAGGTTGGGTCAGTGGAGATCAGTGCTGGAAGAGCAGTTTCAGCCTGTGTGGTCTTGATGTGGGCACGGCTGATGAGAAGCTCTCTCCAATTCTGTAATTCTGGGATTTCAGCTGTTTTCTACTGAAGATAGGGATTTTTAAAACTGCACAGCTTTTCAGGCGAGTTCCTTTAGGCCAGCCCTCATGTTACAGTCAGGGAGTTTGAGGCCCAGGGATGTTTCCCAGGGGCTGAACTCTAACTAAAAATGAAGGTCTCCTAGTCCCATTGCCTGTTTTCTTCACTCAGCTGTTTCAACGGATGTTGCCTCATGTGAATTATGGATGACTGCCGGAGTTATTAGAATGAACAGAGTTACCAAGAGCTAAATACTCGTCATTTATACCTGGCCGGTTCTGTTTTCAGTTGTCCTTTTTCTTTACAAAGAGCTTTGAAACAAGACTGGCCTGTTTGACCTTCCATTTAGAGTTAATGTCAAAGCTTGCCGAGGCCTGGGAAACAGGTTTCATTGTTTGCTTTAAAAGGGAGTAGGAAACAAGAACTTTGATTATCCTAGGCTCTGGCCTATTCTTTAATAAGGCATTTGAGAAGATGTCGTAGGGGCTAGTATTCCTAGAACATAATACTTGAAAGTGGAGCAAGCAGACAAAAATGTGCCTTAGGCAGGAAGCCAGATGGGAAGGGCCAGTGTCCACAGGATCTGCACAGTAAGGACCCTGTGGGAAGATGTCATAGGTAACCGGGCCTGATGGCCCAGCACCCAGCTGCTTTGCAGTGGTTCTGGCTTCGGGGCTTCTCCGGGTGGCTGAAGAACAGGTCTGGAGGTTCATTCAGCAGCTCCTGTTGGGATCAGGTGTGAATTGTGTGCGGGGCCCAGGGCTGGGGCTGTGGAGTCAGGAGGTACAGTTCCTCCCTCCAGAGCACTCTGGCCACAGAGTCACGAGGTTAGGCTGGAAGGAGACAAACAAGAAACAATGACAGGACCTGGACTCAGGCTGTCATGAGCAGCCCTCCTCTGGACAGTGGGAAATGTGAGTTGGGGACTCGTGTTTACGACTTTGTTATGTTTTTTCTCACTGAGCGATGCTCATAACAGGAGAAAGGATTTCTTCACTGTCCCAAAAGAATGTGCCTCAGGACTGAAATTGGTAGTGGCCTTGCCTTACTCATGTGCCCCAAGCACATTGGAACCCCAGAGGATTTTTAAGCAGATTTTTATTCTTGTTTTCTGGAGACAAAATCTAAAGTGAGGGCTGTGTGTTGTGGGCAGGAGTGGGGGTGGGGGGGTCATGCAAGAAATTTGGAAGCTGTGTGCCTTGCCTGGCTGACTGTCCCAATTACCCCGGCACAGTGGGGGCCTCCGGGCCCAGATGTGGGAGGTCCCACAGGGGCCTGCTCCCAGTTGACAGAGGGCTCTTTACCATTAGGACCTCTTCTGGGTTTCTCAAATTATGGCTTTTCCTCCTTCATGGTCTCCCGGTACTTTTAACCCCTTCTCTCCATTTTTCCCAAGGAATGTTCTAGAGGAAGGGTTTCTGCGAATGGGTCCCCTCCTCGCCTGACCTTCGCAAGGGGAGGGATCGGGCAAGTATTGAGTCGTTCCTGCTCATCTTGATTGTGATCGTGACCTCATGGAGTGTCGCTGGATAAGCGATCGTGTCCCTTGAGGCAGGGCTGCACATGGTGCAGTTCCAGAGAAGCGAGGGAATGAGAATGAACGTGGCTGCTCATTTGTTCAGTGGCTATTTAGGAAGGTTGGGTCAGTGGAGATCAGTGCCGGAAGAGCAGTTTCAGCCTGCGTGGTCTTGATGTGGGCACGGCTGATGAGAAGCTCTCGCCAATTCTGTCATTCTGGGGAAAGCAGGCCATGTCCCATTGGGAGTGCTCCTGTGAGTCGTGAAGTTAGTAATTCTCATCCCTGGCCACACAGAAGAATCATCTGGGATCATTTAACAGAAACAATGTCAGGATCCTACAGCTATTCCAGGCCCTTCATTTTCAAACTTGAGTGGGCATGAGAATCACCTGGAGGATTTGTTAAAACACAGACTCCTGGGCTCTCACTTCCGAGTTTCAGTGGCTCCAGGATGGAGCTTGAGGATTTGCATTTCTAAGAAGCTCCCGGGTGACTCCCTGCTGCTGGCCTGGGACCACACTTTGGAAATCATGATTATGAACACAGGAATCAGAATGTCTGCAGATGTGGCCTGGGCATCTGAATTTGTTCACATTCTCCAGGTTGATTTTAGTGTATGGCTCTGGCTGAAAACGATTTCCGATCATTGATTTTTTTTTTTGCATTATCCAATAACTATTCATTGGTCAGATTGTGTGTTAATCACTGAGTTCGAGTGAAGACCCTCAAGAGTTCCACTGATGACTGAATCGTCAAAGGGAACCGAGCCCTGCCCAGGGACACACAGTTGTTTTCCTCTTCCTCGTCCTTTGGAGAAGCACAGTTGAAGCTTCCTGCCTGCACCACGGCCCCCACTGCTTGAGCATGAATGTACTGTAAGTGTGAGAGCCTGCCTGTGCCCTGCCCGCCTCCCTCTCCAGCCAGCGTCTCTCTGAGGAGTGAGGATTTCTTGCTGAGTACATGACGATGGCCTGTTTACTTTGCTCTGGAGTTTGAGGCTCTCGCGCGGATTCTGCCTTCCCAGACAGTTCAAGAACCAACCAACCAGCTGGGCCTGGCGACTAGAAAGCATAGTCAGTTGCCCTGGAATAGGTTGATTGCACCCCAAAAGTGCTTTTCCGCCTCTCCCCGTCACAGGTGTTTGCAGCTCCATTTTCCCTCTGAGTCGGCTTGTCCGTTACTAGGTTTGCGTTCCTTGATGGGGTCTGTTATTCCAAGGTCTTCGGCAGTGGCGCTATCCACCCAGTTTGGCTGCGGGGCTGAGAAGGTGCCTTGCATTTTGTATTGTGTGTCCTTGGCGGGTCTGTGCCTCCCTTCTGTCTGTTTTCCCTCAGGACCACCCACCGCCCCTTGCTTGTATCTACAACAGCTATGAGGAAGAATATATAGATTAATCGCCTTGCTGCAGGGTGCCAGTTACCCAGTGGCTCTGGCAGACCCAGTCAATGGATCCTTTAGTGTGGCCTTCATCAGTAGAGCTGCCACTGCTAGCACCCAAAAGGTAGCACTAATATGCATGTGTCACCTGAAAATTACAATGTAAACAGTGGGGCAACACATGTATAGGAAGGTAAATTTTAATTAAAAGTCTGTTCTCCAACTTAGCCTGCCTTTAAAGATACAGAAATGCCAAGCTGTCAGGCTGCCGGTCAGGTTAAGAGGGTTCTCTCGTGCACTGTGGACCAAGCTGGAAGAACTAGGGCTTCATTGAAATCAGATGCCTTTGATTAATTTTCTACCAAATGCATCCCATATGGGGAAGATGTGCCCTCAAGTGGTTAGCGGAGCCAGCAGGAGCCAAAGCTTCCTGAGAAGTGCTGGGTCTTCTTTCCTGCAGTGTCAGGGGGTGCAGACAGTACAGAGGGAGGGTATGAGAGTCGAGGCATGTGCCAAAAAGGAGCAGGTGGGAAAAAGGAGCCCATGGCTCAGCAGCAAATTGTGGATGCCGAGTGGACGTGGCTTTTGAGGCCCTATGCCCAGTGGTCATCCTGAATTTGCTGCACTGCCTGGGGAGGGGGTGGATGGAGGAGAGAAACTGGCCACCTCCAGAGGCAACCCTGTTGGACAAAACTCACTGTTAGAACCATCAGAAGTCCATTTTCCTATGGAAATCTACAGGGAAGGGGTAGAGAAGAGCTGCAGAGTCTATTAAATATGTGCTTGCTGCCTGGTCTCTGGTACAGTCTGGAAATCAGATTTGTACAGTGGAAATTCATTCATGCAACAAATAGTTATTGAGTGCCTACAATATGCTGGTGGTACTAGGGACTGGGGATACAGCGGTGGGTGAGCTAAAGGCACAGTGCCCTCACCGAGACTTGTATGCCACTGGAGAACATGGATTAAACAAGGCATTATGTGATCAGCATATCAGTGCCATACGGGCAGTGGGCCAAGGTGCTGATGGGTGCACACCGGGGACACCTAGTTCTTAAGTGACGTTTTAGGCTCGTAAGTGGTCAGAACAGCTTTCTTATTTTGCCATTTACATGTTCACATTCACTTCGCTCGAGTTACCCTTCTGATAAGAGGAAATTTGTGTCAAGTCACATAGAATCACTGAATATTTGCACTTGGAGGATCACCTGGCCTAATTCTTCTGCGCCAAACATGAAGATGCTGAAGGAGAGAAGTTAAAGAACTTGTCCAAAATTGCACAACTAGTTAGTAATAAAGTTTGGATGGAAATCTGGTTTTCTGACTCCCAGATTAGTATTTCTTTGACTTTACCTCACCTTTGGAAAAATGAAGCTGATTCAAGGGAAGTTCCTGGGCACTTATGGCCAACTGCCCTTGCTCTGAAGATGTCCTGTTTTAATCGGCCCGGCAGACCTGGAGTCCACAGGTGGTAAACGTGGGCAGGTGGAGAGCCAGCATCAGAGAGAGCCTCCTGGCCAGCGCCTGCCTTGCTTGGCAGATGTCAAGACCATTGAGGATTGGGGGCAGGGTATGATAAAGGGCATCAGGAAAGTGGCAGTGCTGGGGCACTGTCCTCTGGGCCTCCCTGGGCTCAGCCGGGCAGGGGCGTGTCTTCAGAAACAATGGTGTTGACTCCCTCTGGGCAGCCCTGCAGGGTGGCAGTCCTACAATGGAAACCTTGGAGCAGATTTGTTGGAGGATATGTATAAGAATGAGGGATTAGTGCTGGTTGGGGGCAGAGAAAATGCCCTCTTGGGGAGAAAGAAATGATCTGTGTCAAAGGACTTCCTTTCCTAACCAGGCAGACTCTGGAAGGTGACCATGAGGCCGGGTGGGAAGGTGGCAGTGGGAATGTGATTAATTGTACTGTCCATGGACAGTGAGCCGAGGAGCTTGTGCCTGGCTTTATTAGGGACATATACTCAGGGCTGCTCCACCCAGAATCCCTGCTGCTGCCTCCAGGGCTGCTCCACTCAGTGTCTTAGAGATGAGAAAAGGAGTCAAGGACTCCGACCAGCATGGAATGGTAACCTCTGGAGAGGAGGTAGGTCTCCCAGGGATCTGAGACGTGTTCCAGGAATGGAATTCCCGGTATCCTCGGCAGTCATTTCAGGATCTTGGAGACCTAGGGATGCTGTCCTGACTGCCCTAAGATACCACGTCCTTGGCTTACTCAAATGTATTGTCTGAATCAGCAGGCTTCAAGGTGAAATCAGGGGGTTTGTAGCACGGATGTTGGAGCTATGTAGACTGGATTCAAATCCCCAATTCTAGCAATTCCAGCTCTGTGGGCAGGGCACTAGAACTTGCTGAGTCCTAGCTCCTTTGTAATACGAGGTGATGGTGGATATGTCATAGGGTTGTTGCCTGGATTGAAAGTATGTCAAGCACCTACTAGTGTGTCTGGCACCTGGGAGGTACTTAAATGGTCACCCTTATTACAACAAAACAATAAAAGGTCCTTCCTTTTAAGCCAGAAAAGCTATTTGGAAATGGAACAGTCTTTTAATGAGGAGGCCTTAAAATCCCAAACCACCAGCCAAAACCATCAAAATGGAACCCAGACGGATATTTGCCCAAGGGCCCCCGGCTTCTCAGGGGCCTCCTCCGCAGCAGAATTTGCCTTCACCACCTACTGGTGGTTTCTTAGAACTACACACTCTCTTTCTGAACTGCTCCTTGGTGAGCAGGACACCAGGAGAGGTGGGGAGGAAAGGAAGGTAACTAGTAGTTTTGCAACTGTTTTAATTACTTCACATTGAGATGTTTGTAAATAAGATGTTAGAGTCTGGAGCTTTTGTTTGGTCTTGTGTTCAGCATAAATATAGTTTTATAGTCACAAAAGTGCCCTGCAGTGGAGGGCGCAGGATTTTGCTGTGACGGCAGAGCTAGAGGCGACTTGCAAATGGCGGCATTTGGAAGTGCCTGTTCTGGGTGGACATCCAGGCTGCTTTCGATTTGCTGTTTGTCCCTCCCAAGAAGCAAGAAAGGTGAATGTAACCAGCCCACTGGAATCGGTCCTTTTGCCGTTAACGTCACCTCTGTTTACTACGTGGGAAGAGTGATTCACATGCAGGAAGAAGACCTTTTCCAGAAATCCTCCACCAGCTAGAAGGAGAGAGAGAGCCTAATTAGGGAGCCATGCCACATTTCATTCTGAGATTTTGTTTGGAAGCATTTTTCCAACTAAGAAGGCAGGAGAGGATCGTTTAAGTTTGCCACTGTTCTGTTGGGCTTAATGACCTGCCCAGGTCTCAGGCTGCTCTGAGCTGAACTGTCAGTGAGACCAGCAGGAGGGCATCACTGGGATTGGAAATAGCGTGGAGTCAGTTGACAGACATCCATTCAGCACTACTAAGTGCCAGGCCTTGTGCTGGTTGCCAGGGAGGCAGAGAAACATAAAATATGACCTTGGTCCTTAAGAAGATGAGAGTTCAGTAGACAAGACGAGCTTGTGCTAAATCAGTGTACAACAGTGAGTGAAGCAGGTGATGAGTCCTATTGGATAGGTCTACCCTCTTGTGGAATATTAGAGAAGGAAGCATGCATGTGTTTAGTTAGACACAGTTTCTGACCTCCAAGGTGATGATTCAATTCCATGCACGTTTGTTGTGTCCCATTTTGTACAGAGAGAGCACGTTTGTTGATATTCGAAGGTATTTGGAGCAGGATACAGTTGAGGACCGTTTTTCAGCGCTTTCACACTGTGCAGCACGGAGGTCAGGAGCACTGTTTCAGGAATCAGACAGCCCACGTTGGAAACCTCCAGGACTTGCCACCCGTATGTGCTTGGTCAAGTTGTCAAACCTCTCTACAGCTTCATGTATTCAATCAACAAACGTTTACTAAATACTGTGGCAGCACTGGCAGGCAGGCGAGAGGGACTGAGGGGGATGTGCAGAGGTTGGTGGAGAGGGTGGGCAGGGCGGAGACTGAGGGTATCTAAGCAAAGCTGCCTGCTTTAGGTGGCCTGGGGAGCTTCTAGTTCTCAGCCCATCTCTTCCCTGAATGGGCAGAGCCTATGGGTGAAGGTCCAAGTGAGGATGTGGCTGTAGTGTCTCTGCCTGCCTTTCTCCCGTGCCCTGCAGCACCAGGCCCACACTGGAGTGCTGGTGGGAGCCGGCATGCCTGGTTAGGAGCATGCCAGAGAGCTGTCCATAATTACTTCCTTCCTTTTATTTTCTGGTGTATTTATGAGTTTTAAAAGCCCCTTGGCAACCCAGGAAATTCCATTTCCCTCTGCAGCTCATTTATACTTTCCTTGATATATGCCCAGGCACAAACACTTCTGTGTATTATTTGGTTGTTCATGGGGGATCTTGTAAAAGCTGAGGCCTTAGTGGGTGTACTTCAGGCTTGAGGGCAGGAGAGGGAAAGGAGCAGAAGGCAAGAAAGTAACCTCTGGCAAGGAAACAGTAACACTTTTAAATCTCCTCTGAAGACCACAAGCGAAAGAAATTGGCTCAACCTGTAGCGTAAGTGTGCTAGAATAGACACAAGCAAGTTTTTCCTGATAAATGTCAAATGCCTTTTTGCCTGTTCACAATAAACTTTTATACATATGAGCGATTCTCATCTGATTGGGACATGATGCAGGGAGTGGAATAAACTAAACGTCTAGTGTGCTTAACTGGTGTTGCTATAATTGATATTTTTCAACCCTTTGACTCCATGAATGCCTCTAACACCTAGAGCTGGCTTGTCCAACCCGTGGGCCACTGGCCACAGGCGGCCCACGATGGCTTTGAATGTGACCCAACACAAATTCACAAACTTTCTTAAAACGTTATGAGATGTTTCTTGCATTTATTTTTAGCTCATCAGCTGTCACTAGTGTTAGTGTGTTTTATGTGTGGCTCAAGACAATTCTTCCAGTGTGGCCCAGGGAAGCCAAAAGATTGGGCACCGCTGGTCTAGAGCCTTTCACAGTTTGACCTTTAGAGTAGCTTGTTTTGGCTTATTATTTTTCATACTTCATTTTCCAAACTATATTATACACTTATCATTTCTATTTATATCCCTACCACAGCCTAAAATAGTGCCTGAATATAGTAGACAGTAAGTGTTTGATGAGTGACTAGTAGATGACAGCAGCTTCCAGCATCTGCCAGTACTTACACTATGTTATAATTTATCATTTTTTCTTGAGGTGACAGAACTCTTGTAATAACTCTAATAGCAAGTCTTCTTTTGTACTAATATATTAATTTAATCATTTATTAACTTTCTAATAATATGCAGCAACCACTGTCAGGCACTAGTTATTCAAAGGAAGACAAGACACAACCCTGACCAGACGTGAGGGGTGTTTACCATCCACATGGGAGATGGGCATATAATTTAAAATGAAATAGCAATTGGTAATATATTAATGAAGAGCATATATTCATAATTTAGGACAGAGGAAGTGCTTTTTGCCTGGCATTAAAGGGGAGGGTTTCAGGGAGGATGTAGTTGAGCTCCATCTTAAAGATGAGCAGGAGTCAGCAAGAAGAAATGGCAGTGGTGGTGGGTCCTAGCAGAAGGAAGAGCGTGGCCCATAGCATGAGACACGGGTATAGTTGTGCTTGGGGAGCCCAGGAAATTCCACTTCCCTCTGCAGCTCATTTATACCTTCCTTGATATATGCCCAGGCACAAACACTTCCGTGTATTATTTGGTTGTTCCCTGAACTGCTGAGGATGATGGAGCTGGAAACATAGATTGGAGTCAAAGCACAAAGGCCTGGAATACCCTGGGCAGAAGCTGGGCAGGCAGTAGGAAAGGCCCTGAGGAGACTCAGAAGGGTCAGCTGGGGCAGTGGAGAGTGGGGGGCAGGGGAGGCTGGCCAGGAACCATTGCGATAGGCCTGGTGTGGTGGGGGAAAGATTCCTTTCGTGCATGCTGTCGGGATGTATCATAGAGCCTGAAGCATGCCAAGAGACCAAGAAAGGGAGTGTGGCCTCATGCATGCCATCCGAGCCAGAGGAGCCCAAGTAGAGATGTGGGTTAAATGGCTTTGTTAGTTAATATGTGACATGTCACCTCAGTATTGAGCGTCTCTGGCAGCTGCTGGGACTGCAGACACATTGTTGGTCACACTGACCCAGACAAGTAGTCAAGGCAACTTTCACCACAGATCAAGCAAGAGAGTCAGCAGTAGGTGGGGCAGGGCGGTCCCTGTCTGTGTGCACATGGTGCTCAGCGAGTCACATCTGCTCCAGTTGTGTCATCTCCGTGGGCAGTGAAGCAATACTGTGCGCACAGTTCTGTGTTGTGCCTCTCCCGGGGAAG